AAATGAATTTTGTATTTAGACTTGGGTCCCATCTCCAAGATATCTCATCATTTTGCATGCATATGTACATACAGGTATTCCAAAAGTGGGGAAAAAAAAAACAATCCAAAACACTTCTGGTCCCAACTATTTCAGATAAAGGAGACTCAACCTGTAGTTTTCTTTTGCTCACTCACATACTTCCACAAACATGTATGTATACTTTTCTCAGTGCTGTATCTTGTCCTCACATATTTCATATGCTGCTACAGTTCACCACAAGATGGCATTAAATCATTTTGGAGGTGGTATCATTACAGAAGTTTTTTTTTTTTAAATGGAACATTTTAAGTGTACTTACCAGTAAACTTTCCACTAAGCTTGCTGTGTTTTTCATCTGTACATAACAAATGCACTACCACTCCACATGCCTCTTAAGTTTACTTCTGTTTTTAACTCCCCTCCAATTATACATCATTGTTGCCTTTAGATATTTTGTCACAGAACCAGTGATTGCCTGTAGTTCTCATAGAATGGAGATATGACAGAAAGGGGGGGCCCTCTAATTTTCTTTTCTCATTTCCTTGACTTAATTAACTGGCAGCTTATATGCTATTCTTGCTCCCCAAGATGGATGCAGTTTAAGATGTTTGCCTCCCTGGAAACAGTTCATAGAACTGCCGAATGTAACTAACCATGTACCACATTGCTATAAATGACATATGTTTCATTTACTAGAATGCAAAAGTAGTAATATTGGATCTAAAAACTGACAATACCATATAGGCATGCTTGCACAGAATGTTTCAGTGAGGGAAACTGGAATGAGGCCTCTGCCCTGTTTTGGCCCATTCAGTGTGGTTAGTTTCCTGTGAGCTGTTTGTGCTGATTCTCCAGTCATCTGTGTGTATCAGTCATTTGGGAAGACTGCAACATGCAGGCACAGTTTTTGTAGGAACAACAACAACTACTTTCTCTGAAGATGCCAGCCACAGATGCTGGCGAAACGTCAGAAAGAAGCTCTTCTAGAACGTGGCCACACAGCCCGAAAAACCCGCAAAAAACTAACAACAACAAAAATTCTTATTCTTATTTCTATTGTGCCTTTTCCCCATTCAGGGCTTACAACAAAGTACAAAAGTTAAAAAGAATTTAAATAATAATAATAAAAAATATTTAAACTAGATTAAAACATACACCATTAAGTGTGTGTGTGTGTGTGTGTGTGTGTATGCATGCATGCACCTACCCACCAGCACATTTAGCAAAATCTAGCACATTGTTTAGGAGAGACAGACTTTATATGATCAGGAATACAGGAATATCTTCTTTTGATTATTGCACCGATATGTGCCTTTATGTTCTTTTGAAAAATATCCTGAAACATCAACTGGGTCAAAGAACTTCTGCAGCCCAATTGCTAACTGGAGTTGGCTACAGTTGTACTGGCTTCTGAGCACAATTCAAAGTTCTGGTTATGACCTTTGAAGATCTAAATGGCTTGGATCCAAGTTAACTGGGCTCTGCCCTCCCATATGAGTGTGCATGGCATCTGAGATCTTTAGGCAAGGCTTCCCACAGAGACATGTGGTGAGGACACTTTCTGTCCAGAGAAGATAAGACTGGCTCCCTCCTTGGGGTTTTTCCTTCACTAGGTGAAGAATTATTTATTCTAGCAGGGTTTTGCTAAATGACTATAAGATAAAGGGCTTTTAATAGTGTGCAGTGCTGCTTTTAAACTGCTGTACTGCTTTTAATCTTTATTGTTAGTGCCTGTTTTAAATTGTTTTCAGTGATAAATTCATTTATTTGCACACCTGTTGCTTTTATATTAAAGCAAGCACATAATTCATTTTTCTGTGTATATGTGTGTGTATATATAATTATGTGTAAATTATGTGTCCATTTTAATTCTGGAAGGCATGGCGAGGGAGACGAGCGATAAAAAGTAAATAAATACACAACAAATGGACCTGTGAATGCAGAGCAGAATGTTTCTTGTCTTTCTGAAATTACTACTGTTCCTGGGGAATTGCCTCCATTTTCCCAGACTTAATTACAGCTTTGATTATCTTTTTAACAATATATATGGACTTCCCAACATAATTTATAAAGGGAAACAATTTTTGTTCTTCTTCAAAATTAAACACATACCAAACTTAGAACTGTAACAAGAAGGGAATCCACTGCATGCCCACCAGCTGCCTGTTAATACAAAAATAAATAAATAAATAAATATTATTTTGCTTTAAAACAAATATTGTTCTGTAGATTGTAGTTGGAAAGAGTTGAAAAGGACAACAAAAGCCATCTAATCCAACCCCCACCAGGTAGTGGCTGATCAGAGTGATTACCGTGGAGAGTTTTCTGCCAATCAGAAAAATCAAATCTGGACTGTATGTAAAGGATATTATCTAGAACAGGGGTTCCCAAACTTTTTGACTTGCAGAGCCCTTATTTCTGTGGTGGAGCCCTTAAGAGGTCTACCCTATGTCTTATAAGTTAATGATTTTTAGGAATATATAACAATATATTCTTATTCTTTAATTTCATGCAATTTTTATTTCTTTCATTTTTCTGCAGCAGCTGTGGAGCACCTGGGAAATGCATGTGGAGCCCTAAGGGCTCCTCAGAGCACAGGTTGGGAACCCCGGATCCAGACCTTCCTGTGAACTCAGACCAATATTCTGGCTTGGATGAGGTTGCTATTTGTTGTCGTGCACCTTCAAGTTGTTTGTGACTTATGGTGTCCATAATATGAACCTATCACATGGTTTTCTTTGGCAAGATTTGTTCTGGTGGGTTTGCTTTTGCCTTCCCCTGAAGCCAAGAGAATATGATTTGCTTAAGGCAGGGGTAGGCAACTTTTCCCCTTTAAGGGCCAAGGGACTTCAGCTCCCAGAATCCCAGGAGCTATTGGTCAACATGGCTGAGGTTTCTGGGAGCTGAAGTCCCTCAGCCCTTAAAGGGGAAAGGTTGCCTACCCTTGGCTTAAGGTCACATTGTGAGTTTCCCTGGTTGATAGAGACTTGAACCATGACCTCCAGAGTTGTAGTCTAATGCTCAAACCACTACACCATCATAGTGTAGGGTGAATGTTTGTCTCTGTGTGTGTCTGTGCATGTATTTTCAAGTGACCTGTTGACTTATGGTGGCCCCATGAATTTCACAGGATTTTCTTAGGTAAGGAATATTCGGAGGTGGTTTTGCCATTTCCTTTCTCTAAAATATAGTCTACAGCACCTGATATTTATTGAGGTTCTTCCATCCAAGTAATAGCCAGGAATGATCCTGCTTTGCTTCCAAGATCAGCTCGCATCTGGGTCCTTTGGGATAAAAATTAGCCCCTGCCCTGTAAATAATTGTTTAGAGCAGTGGTATTCAGACTTTTTATCCTTGGGAC